GGCCACAGCAGTGAGAGGCCCGCGTACCGCAAAATAAAAAAAAAAAAAAAAAAAAAAAAAGATGCCCCTTCCCTGCACCCCGTGCCCCTCTCCCCCCAGCTGCATGGGCATCTGGGCCCAGCAGGCTGCACTGTGAGATTGCTGATGGCGCTCCCAGCCCAGCAGAGCTCTCCACCCTGAGTCATACCCTTGCTCTAGAAACCTCGGGGCCTGCAGGCCTGAGTGGAGTGTGTGTGTGTGTGTGTGTGTGTGTGTGTGTGTGAGTTGCCTGGGAAGCTCCCCAGGGAGGTATCCAGTAGCGACCCCCCTCACAGAAGAATCTTCTGGGAACTCCTAGCCCGAAGCACTTGTGCCCTGGAAGAAACAAGGTTTGTGTTGGAGCCAGTGGGGGAAATGGTGTTTTAGCTGGACGGAGATGGCCCTGCTAGTCCCTTGGGGCCACACGAGTGTCCCTGCAGGCGGAGGAGTAGATTTCTGCCTGCACTGCCCTGGCTTAACTCCCTGACGTCCCAGGAGGGAAATGGCCTTTATTTTCTGGGGAACCCGGGAGGCTGGGCCTTTTGGATTGACTAATACGGGGTGATCCCGTATTAGTCAGCGCCCTGCCCTGTCTTTTCGCTAAGATGAACGTCTGTTCACGGGCAGATTTTCTTAGCTGGGAGGTTTTGATATGGATGAGATTAAACAACAGGCTTTGAACATCTGAGTTAGATTTAGCTACTAACCGTACTTTGCTGAAGTTGACATGCAAAACTGTATTTTAAAGCATCTGCCGCTGCCTGACTAGGCCTGCCTGTGCAGGAGAGGGGCCCGGAAGCGCACCGGGCTCGGGGGCTGTGCAGCTGTGGACCCTGGGGAGTGGGCCGAGGGCATCGTACACGGGCAGCATCCACTGTGTCAAATCAGGATTACAGTTTAGAGAGGGGTAAATGGCTCTTCCTCGTTCCCTTCTCTTTCAGGGATGCCATTTCCCAAGGGAGGCTTCCTAAGACCAGGCCCTGGGCGTGAAACCCATTCCCTGTGGCAGGTCTGGAGTCCTCTCAGAAATGTCCTGCTTCCTCAATGACCTAACAGTGGTGTCTATGCCATTTCAAGAGCCTTTGGGCATCATCTATGGCCAGCAGGAGTGGCACTGTGCCTCCACCTTGCCACACGTCTCTACCATCCTAGACTTCCAGCCGTCTCCAGCCCCACCAGTGGAGAGCCCATCCAGGACCTCGGCATCACAGGAATTGGCTTTTCCTCCTCCTGATAAAAGGCAGAGGTGCTTGTTCTTGCCAGAATTCCCCAGAAAGGCCACTAGAAGGTTGCGTG